GGATCAGAAATAACATCAACTAAAGCAAAACCTTCTTCAACACCATCAACTACCACATGTGATATGAATTCTTCTATAATACTTGATGCTATTTTTATTTCAGGTCGTTTAGTGGGATCATCTGAGAGGCATTGCTTAACTAAACTAGTGAGATCACTAACTTGTGGTAGTTTCTCAATATAATATGACCTTCTATTGCACTCGGGCACTTTAATGTAGTCATCTGCACTTTTTCGAGATGGTTTAGGTTTAAACTGATTGGTCGGTTGAGGAAATTGACCAGTAAGAACATGAAGAATGAGACAACCATAAGAGAATACATCTAACTTGTGATCATATACCGGATTATCTTCAAGAGCTTCTGGTGGCATTACCGCAATATTTCCAGGAGCCTTGGTGAGCATTGTATCAGCCCATTTTCTGGACATACCCAAATCAGATATTTTTGCTTGTAGCAAATTATGGGTCAATAGGACATTATTAGCTGTAAGGTCACGATGAATAACACAGGGGTTCTTTTGGTGAAGATAAATCAGACCTTTAGCGACATCAAGGAGAATAGCATATTTCATCTGTATTTTGAGGTTATTAGATTCAAGGCAAGATGCAAGAGTCATCGGAAGGTACTCCATTACTAATGTTGGCAGCGTAGAATGTGGAGCATAATAGACGCCTAAGAAATCGACAATGTTAGGATGATGCTGCATGTTGTGAAGAAGGGCTTCCTCAGTGAATTTTCTTGCTACTTGTCCCTATATACATAGATAGTAGAGACTACGTAACTATGTTATATATAATATAAATTTATAGTCTAGTTTGGGTTGTTATTATTAGTATTTTATATATTTTAATGACATTATACACATAGTAATACTGAACAGAGTAATAATAACCTCAGAAATAAGATTATGAAGCTTCTTTCCAGCACACCGCTGGCCATTCACAATCACTTCAATGACAACGCCGTATGACCCTCGACCTAGTTCTTTACCAGTTTCCTCCACATTTTCTATGGGTATTGGTTTTAGCCAGTCGTTAGCTACTTTAGCCGCCATTGTAAGTTAAGTTTATTCTCACAATTTAAATAATGATGGTCGGGTCTGTGGGCCAGATCCAGTATCATGTATTGAAAGCTTATAGGCCGGTGCGCGGCGGCGCAAGCGCTACGCTAGCTAGCTGGCCGGCCAGGCTACGTCAGTCACATCTATGATCACACACTAGATAATTTCAATGGAGCATGTAGGATCACACATTTTCTGCGCACAAGAAAATGAATTTCACAAATAACTGTCTCTAAAGATAAATCAAATTAAAATCATCACAAAAATTAAACCTCTTAATAATTATATCACTACAAAAATATTTATATCTAAAGACTAAGTTAGGGCCTAAACACTTAGATTACTTGTTACGAGACCAGCAAGGAATAATAGTTTGTTTAGGTGCAACAGCCTTTTTGCATATTGTATGCCAAGAGCTTGGAGCACTTTTCAAGCACACTTCTTTTAATTCAAGGCACATAAAGCAAAATTCCTTCTTGCAGCGAGGACAAATAATGAACTTGCAACCTCTGGTATTGTGTTCAACAACTTTTCCACAAGTTGGACATGCACGACGATTAGGAACGTTTTTGCCATTGAGGACAAAATCAGGAGCATCTCTAATTGATGGGAGATCAGGATGAATACAAGACTCATCGCCACATTTCACAGATGATTTCCTTGGCCCTGTCCATTCCTTTAAACAATGCCAGCAGAATTCATAAACTTTACCTTTTTTCTTGGTACAAAGTGGGCAATGAACATTAAGGTTGTCTAAATCAACACGTTCAACAAATGACCGGCAACCAGGACATTCTTTCAAGTCACAATATTGTGAGGCAGCATATTCGGACATCTTACTCTCAAAATACTGCATCTCAGCATCATTCAATAGTGCAGCCAAACGAACATCAGTGTAATCCCATTCCTTTTTACACTGCTTGTTTGTTTTCGAGTCAACAATAGCGGGGCAAGTGAACTTAAAGACATGCTGATCAAGAAGACTACGACAATAAGCTGTAAGAGTGTTTGGATCAACAGCATGACCACATTTCATTTTTACTCTTTTTGGAGCATTGGGATCAGGTAAAGGATCAAGGCAATCAGGATCATCAGTAAACTTCAAAGCGAAGTCACTCGGATATTCTTTATCCTCAGTTAGAGGTGGCACTGGTACTCTGTTGATGCTTGACAAGGACCCGTCACTCCCTCCGTGCACTCTCATAACAACAGTAATAGCTGATCGCTTTTGAATGTTATAATCTTCTAATGTCTTCTCTTCGTTAGTGGAAGAGTCTTCATCTTCGAGCTGTTTACCAGCAAAAAGAAGACGCATGTATTCTGGAGCTACTAGGCCTGCTTTTGAATCGGATATTTTCTTCTTTAGTTGCTTAATAGTGGTTTTCCTGAAAGCAGCTTCGTCATCAGCAACTTTAACAAGGTAATGGCCTTCTTCAATGCCAACAACTATCACGGACCAAGTGGCCATCTTCTTAATAGGCCTAGCGCAAGGATCTATCTGGAGAAGGCGGATCTAATTATCACGTGAGTCAGATCATACGACTACGATGGGCGAGGCTGCATAACATCAGTCATAGTAGCAGTAGGAGACTTTTGCTCGGACTATTGTGTTGGTGCAAGCGTTATAATATACTTTTGTGCCTTCCACCATAACTTAAGGTATTCACTTACTATAATTATGAGTATCTAAATGCACGCATCTCTAAATCTAAGGTGTGGGTATTAGATATTATGTGAAGTCAGTACTACAAGGTTTTTAATTTTAATTTCCGTAACTTGATTTCTCCCTCTGTTATAATACTTTTGTAATCAAGCTATTGCAAATTTATAGTTTCCAAATTCATGGACAGGCGCCTGAGGTACGTGTAGGTGAGTGGTATAAGCATATGTCCAAAAAATTTGCATATTTGTTGACTGAGTAAACACACAAAAAAACTATTAATTACTCTTCTATTTAGCCATGCCATAGCAGCCAACTAAATTTAATATACCTAAATATTTTACTGACTATTTGCAAAACTTTGGACCACACATTTATATTATAAACCCCACCATATAAGGAGTAACGGGAAAATATGGACAAATTGGGGTCTTGTGAAAGCATTTATATAATTCATTTCTAAATTAATTGATTTGGCTAGATTTTGTAACACATAAGGTCAATATTTGATTGAAATGTCTCAAGGTCGTTCCTATAATTGATTTCACCGTCGTGCTATCTATTATTATATTTATTTATTTATTTGTATGTCCACACTTACATTTCTTCTATACTATATCCCAACTGAGTTTGACACCAGCCGCTTGGAATTTGAACAATGTAGGCAACGTCACTAATGACGTCTTATAATGATATTCATAGAAGCATGGCTGACATTTTACAGCTGCGATATAGGCCTGTGTTTCACTCTTAAATGGGCTTTGTTTGTTCTGATAAGCAGTACAATAGCTGCTGGAGTCAACTAGTCTTCATAAAGCCCATCGTTATCAGAAGATCTAGCTCTGTTAGCTTTTTAAAGCAAGAATTATCAGTTTGGGCGCTCGACCACATGTTCTTATGTAAACTATGACGTAGATAAATTGTCATAAAACGTCATTTTGGTATGCCATTGGGTTTATAGGGAGAACCCGGTTCTCAGAGTTCCCAAGGAGACCCAAGACCTGAGATCCTGTGATGGCATTGGGCGACTAAGAACCTGTGAAAGTCTCATCCTTATCCTGCATTTCTAGAAAAAGTTATTCCAGTTTTTCTTGGGTCAAACTCAGTTGGGATATACCGTATAGCTGGTTTATTTCGTGGCCTCAAATTTTTGCTGCTTAAATTTTCATTAGAATTAATTTTAGTGCCTTGCTAAATTTTTGTTAATATTTAATTGGTTTTAATAAAATTTAGTGGAATTAATTTTAGTGGATTTGAGCCTGCACGAAAATTAATTCCACATGAAATAAACCAGCTATACGGTAGTATATATTGGAGAAATACCGGGTAACAAGCTTTAGCAACCGCCCGCCCACGCTCCTTTACGTGAGTGGGTGTGGCCACGGCAAACAAAATGGCGGCTTACACATGGGACAAAGTTAAGAGCTTTCTAACAGCAAGAGAGCATAGAGATACTGTCTAAAGACTTCTCTAGAAGCATTATAAGGTAGAGAGAACCTCTATAAGTCTTAATATTGACCAAGTTGTACTTGCAAGGTGGTGAAATCAATTATAGGAATATTTTTACCCTGTTACGCTTGTTAATTTTGTATGTCAACTAATATTCGCCAAAATTTCTCTCCTTGAAATGCAGGGGCGTAGCCAGGGGGGGCAAGGGGGGCAATTGCCCTGCCCTTTTTTAAAACTCAAAATTTAAAAATAATCAAATAATAAGCTGCTTTTGGAAGGAAAAGCTATTCTACAACTTACATATGAAAGGAAAAGGCCAAAGCAGTCTTTCTATGATGCCATTATAAGGCTGAAAAGGTATTCAACGTTGCCTATGATCGGTCAAGAAGTCCGCCATGTTGAAAAATAGGTGTGGCCACGCCCCAAAAGGGCGTCGTTTCGCAAAATTTTGCGGCGCACTTTGTGCGCCGCACAGCTTGCCCCTCTTTCCAAAAATCCTGGCTATACCACTGAAATGGTAAGGGTTTACATGATATTTGCATATGGTCAAGGAGATTTGTGAATTTATTTTCCAAAAATATTTGAATTGAGGCTTTTTGAAAATTTTGTGCCACAGAATTTTAGGCAGTATAGTAATTGTTTTTAAATTGATTAATGCACACTTTTCAACTTGACAGTGTAGGTTACTGTTCTTGGTAAGCAAATACTAAAATTTATTTTAGTACACCAATTATAGTAGGTGTACCACAAAATGATACGGTTTAGTTAAGAAGCATTTCAATAGTGTATATAGTATTAGAAGGTACTACATTAATAAGGTTCAGTTAACTAATAGTTTGGTATTAGAAGGTTGACACCTAAAAAGGGCCTTTAAAGGTTGTAACTCCTTGTTTCTGTCCTCAGTAGTGATAATATTCTATTTTTAATAAAAAGGGGGGAATTATTGACCTTTTGTTCTAAATAATAATATTGTTCTTCCTATAAATCAACTAGATGTGAATAAATTTATTCATGATCTTCCAAGAATCAGACTTATGTATATAGTCTTAATTCAAGAGAAATAGTGAATAGCTACCATGTTTTATTGATAGTACAAACCTGATACAATTTGTTATAGAAGTGTTTTTCTATTGCTTTTTGTGCAATTAAGCAATTATATAATAATCTAGAGTAAAAGATTAGAAAATTTAAATTAGGTCACTCCAATTTGATTTCTTGTTTCCCATTACCCGCCCACATGGTGCCGCATCTCTATTCATTAGTTGACAAGCAGTTTATACAGCTGATAATGAATAAATTTAATGAAAATAACAAACCCACCTGCACCTGCCCACGTCACACCCACCTCTGTAATAGGAAACTATGAATCTCATTAGGTGGCCTTATGGATACCGTATAGTGGGTATATTTCATGGGGATTTAATCTCGCTAATTTTGCAGTTTTAAAAAATTCATGAAAATTTTTACCTGTGAAAATTGTTTTTTTTTACCATGCCAGTAGAAGAAAAACGCAAAAATTTTTTCTTGTGAATAGGTTTAAAGGTCTTTTTCGTGAAATATTTTCCCCGGGAAATATACCCCCTATACAGTATGTTCATTACAAAGGGGTATTTTTTGTCTCATGACATTAGGTATAAAATGTTGAAATGTTGAAGGGACTGTCTTACCTTCTTTGTTGTGGCTCCAAAAGTACTGAAATTGATGAAATCGATGAGATAGATATAAAAAAACCTATTCCTAACACTGAACAAAAAGAGCCATTTGAAATTTTTGAACTTAGTGAAAGTCCTCAAGTGATCAGAAGTAAAAAAAGCAAGTTGAGCAATTCTGACTCTGAAGGAGAACTTGATGAAAAATTGATGGATCAACTGCCAAAGACACTGAAGCAATTCAAGGATCAATCAAGGACAACGAAGCAACTTTTGTTACCTGATAAGTTACACAGAGAAAAAAATCAAAAACCTCATTTGAGATCTGTGGTACCTAAGCATGCAAAACCTGAAAATAGAAAATTAGAGTATGAAACTAGTTTTTCAAAGCAGTCTTACTCACCACATAGTGAGTTATTAGTTGTTACAGTGTTGTGATAAACATTAATTTTATAGGCACTCCACCAAGACGTAGGAAAACATCAAGAAGCTGTGATGGTTGGTATACTCTTATTGCTTTGCTTATTTAAATTTGTTTCATGTAGATTTTAGTGATAAATTTCCAAAAATTGACCAGATACCAGTAAAACAAGTCTCAAGATCTTCTTCAAGCAATGAAAGTAATTCTAATTTTTAATGTTCAATTCATATTAAATTTGTCTTATATAGTTTATTCTACCCCTCCAAGTGATAGGAAAGCACTGAGTTGGAAGGACAAGCCATTTTACCCTCCAAAATCTCTTTCACAAGACGGTACATGTGTTTGGTCAATTTAATGTTTCATCTATCTGCATTATAGCAATTTCAAAACAAAGTTCTAGATCTAGTATTAGTTCTGATCTTTCAGGTATATGTAATAATCCTTCAAACTCAAGTTCTGGTGAAGACAAAACTTTGAATGTTCATCGGTAAGTCTTTATGTTTACACAGTAATTGAGTTTTTTACAGGCATGCAAAACTATCTGGAGTCAAATCACAGAGAGTAAATTCAGAAATTTGTGGACTTATAAACCTTGGAAACACTTGCTACATGAATTCAGCACTGCAATGTTTGGTTCATACAGAACCATTAAGAGAGCTGATAGAACCGAAAGACAAGGTATTATAATTCATTTGTCTTTTTGAATCTACAATACATGCATCTATTATTAATAGAATGGAAGTAGGACTCTACACAGTAAGAATACCAAACTACCTTTATAATTTATGTGTGTGTGCCATTATAGCTTCTCAACCAAGTGACCGACCTCTAGCTAGTCCCTTTTCTCGTCTTATTAAAGACATGTTCAAGGCATCAGGTCTAGCAAGTTGCAAACCAAATGACCTAAAAGTAAGATGCATTATTTGTATTATAATTATTTATATGTGTTTATATTGTAGAAAGCTATAGAAGATCATGCTCCAATTTTTAAAGGGAATTCTCAACAAGACGCTCAAGAATTAATCACTCTTTTTATTGGTGGTTTACATGAAGAATTCAATGAAATCACTGGGAAAAAGCCATATGTTACAATGGAAGTGGATGAAAGTCAATTTGAATCAGAAGAGGTATTACGAGTGCATGTACAGTAAAACATGTATGTATTATTACAAATACGTTTTTATTACTAGCACGAGCAAAATAATACTACATTATGCATGCATGTTATAAAGCCAAGAGATAAAACTAACTATGCTATTGAATTTTTGTACACTTAGTCTTAATTGAGCTCTGTCAATAGATTGTACCGTATAGCGGAAAATTTTGGAGGGAGTAAAATTTGGCGAATTGCTAAATTTTGGTTATTGGCGGATTTTAATTTGGCGAATTAGTGGCCACGTGCCATTGAGCATGCGTATAAAAGCTCAAAATGGCGGATTTTATTTTGGCGAATGGCTATCAATACGCCAAATTCGCCAAATTTAATTCCCTCCAAAATTTCCCGCTATACGGTATTACTTTGTCCATATACAATTGACCAATGAATTTCATTTAAATTTTTGAAATTTTCTTTGATTAGAATTGACATTACAGGTACAAGGGCATTGAAATTTGGTGATATTTTTGTGAACAAAATTATTTAGGAATTGGCAAAATTTTGCCAGATGTATGTTACTCCAGGGTTTCCCACAGGATTTCGGTATAGTGCTGATGCAGGCTCTTATTAGGGGATTTTAAAGTTGCTCCAAAATTTAACAAAATACAAAATACCATACAGGATATTTTTTCTAATACATATTTTGTGTAGTGAGTTTGAGCTACATCTGAATGAAATTGAATTTAAAAAAAATTTTTTAAGTTACTCAAAAATCAGGCCAAAGTCTTTGTACTTTAGTATAAAAATCTTGCAGAAATGATTAAGTGAGAATTCTCAATTTTTATAATTTTTCTAGTACATTATACATTTTAAAAATGTTATGTAGCAAGTTTGAGCTGATTCGGACAAAAATTGAATTTTTAATGAATTTTAGAATTTGCTCCGAAAGCCATGTACATGTACTATTGTAGTGTTTGTTAACATAAAAGAATTCATGTGTTGCCCAATTTATGATATGACATTATCAATGCCAAAAATATTTAATAAAAACTACGCACTACCTTTGGCATTTATTGAACTCTAAACAATATACTGTATAGCTCCAAGTTTTTCTAATTAGTCAAAAATTTGCCAAATTTGTGGTTACCAGTGTGTGTCTTCTTTAACAAAGTTATAATAGAAATGACAAAAATCTGAATGACTAACATTAATCTTGGAATTTTTGCTTAATAACATTTTTTACAGCTACATAATACAAGCATCGCAACTACTGACCTTATTGCCAGGTTGCAACTAGTAGTAACTGAGAACAAATATTTTTCACTTTACTTGTATTTACACTTCAGTGATAAATTATACCTTTAGGAAATAGCTGAAGAATGGAGAAAGTTAAGTGAAAGAAGAGACAAATCAAAGATAATTGAAATCTTTTATGGTCAAATTAAATGTACAATGAAATGCCAGAATCCATCTTGTGGTCATGTATGTTTAAACTTTTTAGAAGTAATGTGGATAGTAATTTTAGGAACAAAAAACATATGAACTAGTATTTCCTTTGACGTTACCTGTACCAACAAAAAAGGCCAATGTATCTTTGAAAGATTGTCTGAAATTATACACAAAAAAGAAGTTATCCACTGATCCATGGTAAATATAGTATACTGCTTCCTTTATTGTACTTACTGTTTCAGGTATTGTGAGGAATGCAATGAAGTAGTAAACCTTTCAAGAAAAGTTGAAATGTGGAATATGCCACAAATACTTATGGTATATCTAAAGAGATTTTGTTTGGAAGGAGGGTAAATCCAGTATAATGAGTATATTATTTTTCAATTTTTTGATTATAATCTATTTGCAAGGATTCACACAAAGATTAATAAGCATGTGAAATTTGATTTTATGTAAGTCCCTGTTCTTTTTGCTATTAATTTACTTTGCAACTGATTATTATTGAGGTTCCCTCTTGAGAATTTTTGTCCAAGAGAAAAGGAACAGTATCAGCTTTATGCAGTTATTAACCATAATGGCTCACTACAATTTGGACACTGTGCGTACATAAGATATATATATGTACTTGTTACTTGTGAGTATAATTATTTTCATTTTACAGATTATGCTTTTGTGAAATGTCAAGACAAATGGTATAAATGCAATGATGAAATGTGCAGGGAAATATCTGTGGACGATGTTATTGTGAGAATATTGATAATTACTTTTTCTATTAATTATTTATTATTATTTTAACATAGACTTCTTCGGCATATGTCCTGTTCTATGAACGTGTCTACGTAGTTTAATCTGAATGGGAATTACTGCTGAATTATATTCATTTTTATATCTTGAGAATAGTTTGATGTGACCTGATTATACTATAGCTATCATCATTTCCACTTTAAGCATTAATTACAGCTATTGGTATTGTAAAATCATTTTATGTGAATGAGTAAAATTGTGTATAAGCAGGTACTCAGTAAATGCATGCTAGTCGACTATTATGATGTAGCTGAGAATTTATGCATATGGGTTAGCTCAAAAATCAGTGACACATTAAGTCAGTTCACACCCATCTGTGTCTAATGGGGCCTTCGTGTGCAGCATCAGCAATAGTTGCTCTAGCACTTGTGGATCAGGTCAATGCAAAGCTGTGCATGCTCAAATATTACCGGGTAAATGCTTTTAAAATAGTAGCTCTAGGGGGGCAAGTCTTCAAAAATTTAAATTTCCCTACACACGGACCGATAAAGAATTTGTCAAGTTCAAGTTGACAATTTGCCTGAAGTTGGCAAAATGGGCCACTCGATGGACCATGACTGGTAGGCTGGGGAATGGTATGGCTTGTGAAACTAGAGAGGCTCCAATTGCAAGTCAACGAACATCAATCAAAATCCCTTTCTTCCCCGAAGACACTATTAGATAATGAGGACAAGGTAAGAGAATTTTTATGAGAATATGATGTGTTTGTGTCTTGGTTTCTGTGAGGCTACCTAATTTTTTCCCTTCTTTCTCTCTCTACTCTTTTCTTCCTCTTTTCTCTCCTTCTCTCTCTAGTTCCTCTGATTGCTACACACAGATTCATTTTCTTATTTATATCCAGCCCCCACTACTCCTCCTAATAATGTTAATTTGTCTCGTAACGTTGAGAACAACGCACTCCTTGCCACATGGGACGCTGTTGAGACCACACCCCCTGAGGGAGAGGTAGCGTTCTATCAGGTTGAATTTAAGGACACGAGATCCTTCATTGCTAACACGCTGTTCATTAATCCAGGGTTTAGTTTCTCTAGTATATTCAATGTCAGTAATGCTCAGGGATATCAAGTGAGGGACTCATTTATTATGTGATTTAAGGCGGATTCTCAATATGACGCATGTGCGTCCGTCACGACCAGAAGTGCTGTATAAACCAATGGGAGCATGCGTCAATGTGTCAGATTGGAAAATATTTCTAATCTGACGCATTGACGCATAGCCCCATTGGTTTATATAGCACTTCCGGTTGTGACGGATGCACATGCGTCATATTGAGAATCCAATGTACATGTACATGTGAATGCATGGTGTACAATAAAATGGGCCAAAGTCCTGTACTTTAGTTTTTAGCCAAATTTGCCAAAAATGAAAAGGAGAAGATTTTTAATTCTTTTAATTTTTTCTGATACCTATATACATGTTTTTATGTTGTGTAGCAAGTTTGAGTTGATTCCGATCAAAATTAATTTTTTTATGAATTTTTAAAGTTACTCAAAAATTGGATCAAAGTTCCTGTACTATAGTACAGTGATTTCAACCAAATTTTGTCAAAATTGGCTAGGAGAGAATTTTCCATTTTTATAATTTTTTTAAATACATATACATGTTCTTATGTTGTGTACAAAATTTGAGCTGATTTCGATAAAGTTTAGATTTTTTATGAATTTTTAAATTTGCTCAAAAATCGGCCCAAAAACCAAAGGCTATAGCCTTTGGTCTCAGGCCAAATTTCGTCAAAATTGGCTAGGAGAGAATTTTCTATTTTTATAATTTTTTCTGATGCATATACATGTTTTTATGCTGTGTACAAAATTTGAACTGATTCCGATAAAGTTTGAATTTTTTATGAATTTTTTTAATTTGCTAAAAAATCCGCCCAAAAACCAAAAGCTATAGCCTTTGGTCTCAGGCCAAATTTTGTCAAAATTGGCTAGGAGAGAATTTTTCATTTTTATAATTTTTTTCTGATACATATACATGTTCTTATGTTGTGTACAAAATTTGAGCTGATTCCGATAAAGTTTGGATTTTTTAATGAATTTTTAAAGTTGCTCCAAATGCCATGTACTGTATTGTAGTGCTTGTCAGCTCATGAAGCTCATGCCGTTTAGCTCACTTAGCATGCTTTGTGGGAAACCCTTCATATTGTACAGTACATGCAGTTACCAGGCTTACATGTACATGTACCTCAGTATCATTATGTGATTATCATGTGATTGTTAATTATTCTTAAGGTGAGGGTAAGGACAGCAGTCCAGAGTACAGCTAATCCTGATGTTACTTATGTGTACAGTCCATACAGTAGGTGGGCCTCAGTCAGTGGCATTATAATAGAAGGTAAGGGATAGTAACTTTATATGAGTATTTGATTTATATTGTGTCTTTTCTATTTAATCTTTTTCTCCTTCTCTACTTTTTATAGTTCCTTCTGGAGGTAAGTGCTAAATATTATACATGTATAATAACCTGTTTTATCTTGTCTTTCTTTCTCTTTTTTTATTTTTAATTGTGTACCTAAACTACCTTCCTTATTCTTTGGAACAGCACCAAGTAAGATCAATACACTTCAAAAAACCAATTTTATCTTTGATCCCTCCTTTCTCTCTCTCCATTCCTTTTCTTACAGCAATAATACCAGTTGATGATAATAATGACAGGACACTTGAGATTGTTATTCCAGCAGTTGTTGGGGGCATTGTTGTTGCGATATGTATTGTATTATCAATTTTAATATTATATAAAATAAAGTAAGGAGAGAGGAGGGGTTGAATAAAATGAGAGAAATGAGCTTATTATTGACATGGAGAGACAAGAGGATAAGATGTGTGCCCAGTGTGTGTGTGTGTGGGTGTGGATGTGTGTCTCCATTCATTGTCATTTGTATTTAAATCTTGTTCCTTTCTTTTTCTTGTACATGTAGACCTCGTAATTCTACGTCACCCAGTGCTACTAATGAAGACTTTGACATGAAGAAACAGCTTAGTGATACTGATGATGCTGCCGATGGAGGAGGTGATGGATCAGGTTCTTAGTATTCTAACTATAATAGTATAGACCTACCACTGCATAGAGGCATATAATAAGAACCAGTGATTGATTAATGTTTTTAATACACTTTTCATGTTATTGAGTACATATTTAGTGTCCAGTCTAACACTGTTTTGTCTTTGTTTGATTTTTTTTGCTTCCAAAGAAATTTTTTCTGAATACCATATGGCATTTGTACACTATGCCTTACATGTAGATTCTATGTACATTGTAATGTACCTTATATTGTAACATATTGCATGTGTAGTATTCGTATGAACCAAAGAATGTGGCCTTGTGAATTTTAAGTTTTTGATTTTTTGCGTTGATTGTTTCTGAATTATGAACAAACGTTACTCACATGTACTGTGCATTAGGCTGCATCCACTTTATTTTGAGTTATTATTTTTTATTTATTTATTTATTTATTTATTTTTTTTTAATTCATTCCATATAGCACGTTCAATATAGCAATAACGCTTGTTGAAAGTCACCTAAAAATAATAAATTGTAGTTAGTCTTTCCTCTATGAATGTTATTATTTGACATATATACATAGTTTCACTGAGATCCTTTCTTTCAAAACTGTTTTACCATACATGGCAATAGATTCAATCTGCTTGTGCTTGAAAGCCAGCGTATGAGTCTAAAAGATATGATGCTTTTGTTATTTCTCTTATCATTGGTACTTCATGTATCATGTCAACAGTTTGGTTCACTGCCTCCTCGTCCAACTACTGGTCAGTATTTAGTAATCATCAATTTGTATTATCTAAGACTGGTAGATGTAAGATTGTTTCTTGGTGAGGAGAATGTGACTATTGCTAATTTCTCAATGATAGCTGCTGGTCTGTTTCATGATACTGATATAGATGAACCTGGTAATGCTGTTGGTGTTGTTGGTAGTCCTGATGGTCAGAATGATGGTTTGTGGTGTCAGAGTTCTCTTAATCAGAATATGATAGGAACATGGTATTATCCTGATGGAACAACTGTACCATTGGGTTCTGGTAGTCCTCTGTTTGCTAACAACACTGCTACTGGTCAAATTGGTTTGTTAAGAAATGGAGGAATAGCAAGTGTTCAAGGACTATACAGTTGTGTTATACCAAATGAAGAAGGAATCAATCAGACACTGTATGTTGCTGCTTATGGGAACAATGATTTCTTCAAATATGATGGTTAGTTCCTTAAATATCTAAATATTCATTTTAATTTTTTACAGAACTTCCAGTTATTGATAGTAGTGGTCCCTCCTTCCAGCTCCTCTCATCAGTTGATGCTGATCCTCCAGTGTTTAGTTTATCATTTACTGTCACTAATAGATCACCAACAATAGTCACTTGCTCTGTTGGTAATGGAAACCAGTTTAATGTATCTGATAATGATTTGATACATACTGTAAAACCAGTTAATAATGATGTACAAGTACAAGTATCAGTAATATTTAGAATGAGAGTGTCTGGCCTGTATAAATGTTCTGTTACTACTGACAGAATTACAACCACACCTTTAGTATCTACTAATATGGCAGCGAGAGATATTACTGGTAGGTATTGCATATCAAATTGTTTTATCCATAATTTTTTAGTAACTGAATCTCCATCAAACTTGGTTCACAGCAGAAATAGCCTTATGTCAGTCACACTAGGCTGGTCTCCCTCAGCAGTGATTAGTGCTACTCCTCAGTATCATGTCTTTGTTAATAACAGTAATGGTATTATTATGAATGATAGCACTACAAATACTGATCTGTCTCTCTCATTACGTCCTGATGATAAATATAATATTAGACTAGTAGCTACTGGTGAAGACTTACCTAGTAAAATAATCACTGTTACAATTCCTCAAGGTATAAATTATGCATAATGTATTTTGATGTTTCTTTCAGTTGTCAGTGTTGAAGTACAGGGGCCAGTTATCATGCCATTGAATCATTTTTCTTCCTTTTCATTAACCTGTACATTGACATTAGCTCCTAAAGTGAATGATACTACAGTACAAATGTTCTGGGCAAGTCCTGATCTCATTCTCTTCAATTCTACAACTGATGGAGACATAGTTTTAGATAGTTTAGAGCCTACAATGATATCAGTGAATGATAGTGTTGTATATACACTTACTCTTAGCTTCAGTTCATTGCAACCATCACAAGTTGGAGAATATGTTTGTGGGGCTCTACTGAATGATGGGGCTGCTACCAATACCATTAGTGCAGCATCAAATTATTCTATATCTATACAAGGTACTGATACATTTAAGTATAAAATCAATAGTTCATTATTATTTTCAGTCAGTTCAGTGCTTTTATATATTAGCAATTTTTGTGATTTTATATTATTTATTTTTATAGTACCAACTCCTTCAGTTATTGTTGAGTATAATGCTACTGGACATTTAGTAGATGGAGAACTAGCAGAAGGACAGTTTCTTGATATTATGTGTATAGCTGACATCAGTCAATATATTGATACTAGTGTTAGTGTTACTATGAGTTGGAGGAGAAATAACACTGTACTGACCAATGGAAGTGATTTTACTATCAGTCCTCCAGTTATGACTAATAATCAGTACACTGGTGTGTTACGTATTAATAGTTTAAGAGATGAACTTGATAATGGTGCTAGTTATAATTGCTCAGTTAGTGTGACTCCTAATACTCCTTTTATAATAGCAGGGAATGATAATAGCAGTGCAGTTACATTAACTGTATCAAGTAAGTCAATTAAAATGTATTAGTATTTTTAATTGTATTTTGATAGGGTTTGATATCAATCATGTTGATATAAGTATCAATATTCCTTCTGTTCCTGTTGCTGGTGATGTATTCAATTTATCTTGTGTTATAGTTGTACCTCCTAATTTTGTTGAGAATCTTACTAGTGTCAGATGGACTTATGATCTAGAAGCATCTCGAGATGTGACTAGTGAAAACAATGATGCTACACTAGTACCTGTTGTTAGAAATGGAAATATATTCACCAGTGTACTTACACTTGATCCAGTGAAGACAACTGATGCTAGACAATATTACTGTCAAGCAACAATTCTAGTATTTGGTACTGTAGATCGTATTAACAGAGATTTAACTGTTCAAAGTTAGTTCTAATTATTGTTAGAATTATTTGAAATAATTCTTTTGTAGTATCTCCTCCCAGTGTATCAATGGTTACTGATCCTCCAACTATTCCAATAGAGAGTACAAGTTACTTACTAACCTGTACAGTTACAGTAAACACTACAATAGTGAATACACCAGTAACTGCTAATGTAGTATGGACTGATCCTAGTGGTAATGTAATACCAACTAATGAAGCAAGACGTCAAGTGACACCTCCAACTGGTAACAGTCTTGTAAGCATGCTATTGTTTCAACCTATTGATACTGGCCTTAATAATGATGGAGGAACATATACCTGTCAAATGATCATCAATTCTGGTAACTCATTAATAGCATCAAGTCAAAGTACTAATACTACCCTTACTGTTACTGTTGAAAGTAATTTACATACTCTTCTCCTACTCTCTCTAATTCTCTTTTCCCACTTTTTCTTTATCACTTTTTATTCTTCATCAGGTCTTCCTCCAATGACAGTAGATTTCTCATCAGCTGGTTTAGTTGAAGTTGGTCAGAGTCTAACTATAACATGTACCATAACAACAGTTGAGAGATTAGTAGTAACACCATTGATTACTTTCATTAAAATGAATGATACAGATATGGAAATGCTCATTAACTTAAAAAGACTATACACTATCACAACAGATGATACTGGTTCAGTTACTAACAATACTCTAATACTGGATCCAGTGAGGTTTGAAGATGCTGGAATGTATACATGTATGGCTGAGTTTCATGTAACTGGTTTTAATAACACCAATGATCCTAGCACTGCTACTTATGATTATCAAGAAGATAGTGATGTCTTTAATTTAACTGTTGACTGTAAGTTACTCTACTTTACTGAAGTGTAAGTGAACAAATATATATAGAGCTAATTTTAAGATTTGTTATTAGCATCTAAAATGTTCATTTCAATATTTTAATTGATTTTGAACTTTGAATCATATTAATTTTTGTTTTTTTTGTCATCTCATTACAGTCCCACCAGTGATTGTTACTATATCAAAGGAACATGATGATACATTATATGCAGGGACACCATTCTTCATTAAATGTGACATAATGTTAGATCCATTAGTTACTATACCAGTGACTGTCACTAATCAATGGACACGTGATGGTACTAATGTTCCTATGGGTTTATCTGACGCTACTATTACTGAGGGTCTCAATATGATCAATACATTATATTATAATGCAACATTAATGTTCTATCCATTGGATAATGCTGATGATAGTGGAATGTATACTTGTAATGTTGAAGTGACTGCTCCTAATAGTTACATGTATCTCAGGAATACATCAGCTAATGCTAATACTTCCATTACAGTTCTTGGTAAGTAATGCTAATGTCACCATCTCTTCTTCTCTTCCACTTTTTAATTTTTCTCCTCTCATTACAGCTACTCCAGTACCAGTAGTAGAGATAGTAACTATGGGTATTGCTGAACCTGGTAAAGAATACATGTTAAATTGTACAGTGACAGTTGTTGATAGACTCATAGTCTCACCAGTGATAACATGGACTAAGAGATCAGCTAACAATGTTATTAGTGTACCTCCAGTTTTTATGACTGTATCTAATGTAATGAGTTCTCTTTATTTGAACTTCTCTTCTCTCAATACTTCTGATGCTGGTCTATATACTTGTGAAGCCTCTATTAATGTTAGTCAAATATCTATTGTATCAAGGAGTAATGACACCTCAGATTTACCATTAGACAGTAAGCACATTATGAGACCAGTGTATATTGCATTATGAATTGATCAAATACCATGCACTAAGGATTTTATTTCATTCTTTTTAATGCAATTGTGTACTTGTTATTTTTTACTTCATACAATGCAGTGATTGATGCATATTAGGCTATTGTATTGTATTTAAAGCTCCCTTTAATGTATTGAAGCCTATAATTTATTTTCTTAATTTCAAAATGTATCTTTAATTAGTTCCCAATCCATCTGTTGATGTGAGTCTATCAAGAGAGGATTATTTCTTAGCTGGCAGTATTCTGATACTAACATGTGATATCAGTGTTGATCCTAATGTTGATACACCATTCACTGTTGATGTAACCTGGAACATGATCAATCAACAAATCATGAGTAGTGGTGATAATGGAGATAAAATTAATCCTAATTTAATGATGCTTGCTGATACAAATCGTGTTAATACCAGCTCTGTTATGATGAGATCAAGTTGTAATGAGTATAGATCAACTGTTAATTTCACTACATTGAGTAGTATTGAGGATTCAGGAACATATACATGTATTGTTACTATAGTACCAGCTCCAGCTTATGAATATGTAACGATTTCTGATGTAAATTATACAAGCATAAACTTAACTGTGACTGGTAAGCTTTAAAATGTATGCATGTACATGTAGGTAAAATTGAAGACCTAATTTAATATTTTATGCACGGTCTGAAATGTGTATGACTTACATTTTAACTTTATTTATTTTTAGATCCTATTGTTAATAGTTTCTCTGCTTTCCCTGACTCATTTCTGGGTCTGGAAACATCATGTCTTCATTCAGACCCATATGATAACTTCACTCTTACCTGTACAGCCACTAAACCAACCATAGTAATACCAAGCCTGGTAATAGCATGGGTACATAATGGTACAATAGAAACTGGTACTGTGACTACTACTGGAGGAAATATGACTACCACTGTTACTAATATATTGAGTTTCAACACCAGTAGGCCTTCTGATTCTGGTACTTATAGATGTACTGCTAGTATTACTATACCTGATTCAACTACAATAATGACTACTAAGGAAAGTACTATCACTATAAAATGTAAGTGTTATTGTCTAAATCTCCCTTTCTTTTCCTTTTATATCTTACTTTTCATATATAGCTCAGAGCCTACCAGTTCCTGCTGCTAATGTAACAGCTACTCCAGGAACAACTACTGCTGCTATATCATTCATAATACCTAACATTGCCTATACACCTGAAACCTACAGTGTTAAGTATACTGGAGCAATCTTACAAACAGCACAAGCAACTTCTATCATAAGAATGAGCTCCAGTAACATTAGTGCAATTAACGAAGAATTTACAATCATGTTGACTGGCCTTGAGGAAGATAACACTTATACATATACAGTTGATTCTACCAATTGTCTTGGTACTACTAGTACTGTTATAATGAGCTTTCGAACACTTCCAGCAAGTGAGTGAAAATTTTTTGATATTATCTATTCCTAATTCTTAATTTCTTTTGTTCAAAATTAAATGCTACAGTGCCTGTGGCTCCTCCAATAGATTGTGCTAATATAACATTTCTACCAAGTAATGTCACACTTACCTGGACTGCACCAGCACTAATAGATCAAAATGGAGCACCAGTTGGTTATAAATTAACATGCATAAATATTAATGGTGTATCAGTCAATGGATTGAGCCCAACACAAACTTCAACAAACACAATGTTCACTATTACTGATGTTATGCCTTTTACTAGTTACACTTGTGAGCTGTCATTTATTAATGTAGTAGGAGAAGGACCTTTTACCCAGTGTACTTTTGAAACAGCTCAAGATAGTAAGTACATGTAATAAATTTAGTTAAAAAATAGTCAACAAAAATTCCTTTAAGCTACATGTATGTAGGCTTATATTTATATGCATGTTTTGCTTTTTACTAGTACCAATTGACAGTCCTCAGAATTTCACTTCAATACCTGATAAAACAGCAGTTACTTTTACATGGACTAGTCCAGCTACTCCTAATGGAGTAATTATTGAATATTCACTAATTATTGAATATTCACTGAATGTCATCAATCAAGATGTGCCGACAATACATAACTATACAATACTTGTATCTGTGAATCAAACTACAGTCACACAATTAGTTGATGGTTTCAGTCCATATCAGAATTACACTGCTAGTGTTAGTGCTAGTACAATCATTGGAGCTGGACCAGTGGCTACTACTGCAGGAAGAACACTACCAGACAGTAAGTATATTATTATGATACATTTATTAAAATACAATACACAGTTCCTAGTTCACCTCATCTGGTAGTGTCTCCAGTTGTCATTAATAGTTTAACAGTAGCTTATACTGTACCAGTTGTTAATGAAACTACTATCAATATAACATGGAGTCCACCATCTCATCCTAATGGAGAAATCACTGGATTTATTGTTAAAATAGCTACTGATGCTATTACTAGTTCTGATGATGTTCTATTTGTACCTGGAAAAGTACTATATACTTTAATATTCAAAGGATTAAGTTAGTATAGACTAAATTTCTATAATTGGATTATAATTTACTTTCATAGGGGCAAAGACACCTTATTATATTTCAGTTGTAGCAGTCAATCAAGTTGGTGAGGGAAATTCAGCCACTGCTATTGTCTTCACTAAATCTGACAGTAAATGTATTTGAATGAATAACTTAATGTGATTATATGTCCAGGTAGCATTACAGTATCACCATCAAATGTACAAGCAATGAGAATAGGAGATACAATAGTGTTATCATGGGATCCAGTGACACTAGAAGAAGCTAAAGGATTCTTTGTATACAGTATCAGATTAACTCCTGATGATGGTAGCACTAGCAGTACATTAAGACAAACTAATACAAGAACTATATCAGTAGCTTATGATACCACATCAGTTAATATAACTGATACTGAACCACAGTTAGCTTATACTGTGAGTATTAGTGTATTGCTATTGAGTGATGTAGGACTAATTGAAGGACCAACTGTAAGCAAAATTATACTAGGTTAGTAAACACTGCTAAACTTAATGTATAATAATTTACTTTAACTCTATACAGTGTCTCCATCTATTAGTACTAGTGCTACTACTACTACTACTACTACTACTACTACTACTACTACTACTACTACTACTACTACTACTACTACTACTAGTACTGATTCTACATTTAGTGTACCAGTAATATCAGGAATAGTTTCAGTTTTGATTACAATAGCCATAGTTGCAATGGTGCTGATCATCATTTGTGTGATAGTATATAAGAAGAAGTCAAAGAAGTATAATATAAAGTAATAGAACTTATGCATGGATTAACTTATGTGCATAATGATAGGAAATTTGATGAAAATGATATAAATCTAACACCTAATGCAGGATATGGCATGGTTAATGTTGTCAAGAATACTGCCATGGAGTGAGTAACAATACTATAATTCCTTAGTGATACTTGTGTTTATACATGTATATTGTGCCATGATTGTGTTACTAGAAATGATGATGATGGAATTTATGAAAGAATGGGAGATGATCAGATTTATGAACAATTAGATGAACCTGATCTGCTTGCTGCAAGAGAAAGTGCTGCTGCAACATATGAAAATACTACTGCTAAGCCTATTGTTAAAGGTACTACATTAATTCAATCTGTTAGTTGTTACTCTGTTGGTTAGACTCAAAAAGCATTCACAAAAAAGAAAACGATGAAAGTATGTATGAACTGATTGACATTGTTTTGAAATAACTATGCTCATCATGCACTATTCTTTGGGAGTGCTAAAAACTCTTTATTTTATATGTAGATGTAATAAACAGATTGTCATGCATACACTGGTTTAGTTTGATTTAGATAGTTGAAGCACACGTTTAATTTCCACATGATTAGTCATAATCCTGTGTCATAGTTTCTTATAACTAAAAATCCTTTATGCATGTTGCCAAGAGTTGCTGATCAAGAAGAATGTAACATCACATAATGATTAGAAAAACTTCTTTCTTACTCCTTCTTGTGCTTAATAATAATCACAACTTCATCTAGTTGCATGGAGGTCAATGCAGATTCTACTCTCAGTGGTTTATTTTTATTATTTATTTTTAAAAGTTATTTTTTAATACTTTTGTTTTAGTTATTTTAAAAGTTACTCAAAAATCCGGCCAAAATTTTTGTACAATAGTACAGGGTCTTTGTTTTAAAGTTACTCAAAAATTGAGTCAAAAAAAGGAAAAGGAGATAATTTTTGATTGAAAATTGTTTCTCTGATGCAAATACATAATTATGTGTATATAAAAACTAGAAACTTTGAACAAATTCTGATCAAAATTAATTTTTTTAAGTTGCTCAAAAATTGGGCCAAAGTCATAGTACAGGGTCTTTGGCCAAATTTTATCAAAAATAAAAAGGAGAAGATTCTTTATTTTTATATTTTTTCTGATGTGCATGCATGTACTTTAGTTGTGTGGGAACTTTGAATGGATGCCAGATAAAATTAGATTTTTTATAATTTTTTAAATTTGCTCAAAGATTATTAGATAAATCTACTTATTGTCAGGGGGAGGTACATAATTACCTGCAGTTTCATCTCATAGCACTGAGTATCTATTGTAGTCTATGTAATGCATAGGCATCAGTTGAGTGGGAGAGTTGGGCAAGTGTACCCAAATGGCTGCTGTGATTCATGCCAGTAACAAAGCACAAAATTGATTAACACATAGACTGGCACTGAAATAAGCACAGGCGTGCACACACACAACACACACACCAACACTTATTGACATAGTCTCGCTAGCCAGATGATTCCCCAGCCTACATCATTTGGGTGGACACCTAAATGACTGTAGCTGGGGAATGCAAAACTATAATTGACACATTATATGTCATCAGTCTGATCAGCCTCATCACTGACAATTAACTAGATCTAAATTGCACGAGTAACCTGGGGTGAAGCCTTTAAGGTATGAAAAGCAAGCAAAGCAATGTACATGTCTGTTGGATCTTAAATTTAGTCAGCCTAGTTACACTAACCTAATGGTATCCTGTATGTCAATACACATGCATCATAAAACTGGAAATTTATTTGTTTGCTTAGACTATTGTTTGCCAGACTCAGCCTGTTTCCAGCACAGTATCTAAATCAATAAAGATGAGCTTCATAGTTTTTAATTAAATCTATAACCTTCTCTAGCTGTTGGAGATTTCTTTTGACAGTTTGTTTGTCTCCTTATTGAATTCTTTATCTTGCATTATGTAAATAATAATCATAATCATAGATTATCTATGATTATATATTATATTCATATATTCAGCCACTCCCACTTTCAAACCTAAACTGGGCGTGACTGTGTAGATCTACTTTACTGTACTAAAACCACCCACACACATACTAGTTAGTTCAAGCTGTAATGTCCTGGTTGTTTCTCTTATCATTGGTACTTTATGTATCATGTCAACAGTTTGGTTCACTACCTCCTCGTCCAGATACTGGTCAGTATTTAATAATCATCATTTTTTATTATCTAAGACTGATAGGTATCAGATTGTTTCTTGGTGAGGAAAATGTGACTATTGCTAACTTCTCAATGATAGCTGCTGGTCTGTTTCATGATTCAGATATCGATGAACCTGGTAGTGTTGGTGGTAGTCCTGATGGTCAGAATGATGGTTTGTGGTGTCAGAGTTCTCTTAATCAGAATATGATAGGAACATGGTATTACCCTAATGGAACAACTGTACCATTGGGTTCTGGTAGTCCTCTGTTTGCTAACAACACTGCTACTGGTCAAGTTGGTTTGTTAAGAAATGGAGGAATAGGAAACATTCAAGGACTATACAGATGTGTTATACCAAATGAAGAAGGAATCAATCAGACACTGTATGTTGCTGCTTATCGGAACAATGATTTTATTAGAAATGATGGTAAGCTTTAAATGATAGAATACTTTTACTCAATTTTCTAGAACTCCCAATGATTAATGGCAGTAGTCCTTCCTTCCAGCTCCTCTCATTAGTTGATGCTGATCCTCCAGTGTTTAGTTTATCATTTAATGTCACTAATAGATCACCAACAATAGTCACTTGCTCTGTTGATAATGGAAACCAGTTTAATGTATCTGATAATGATCTGATACGTACTGTAACACCAGTTAATAATGATGTACAAGTACAAGTATCAGTAATATTTAGAATGAGAGTGTCTGGTCTGTATAAATGTTTTGTTACTACTGACAGAATTACAACCACACCTTTAGTATCTACTAATATGGCAACAAGAGATATTACTGGTAGGTAATACATATCAAATTGTTCTATCCATTATTTTTTAGTAACTGGATCTGCATCAAACTTGGTCTACAGCAGAAATAGCCTTATGTCAGTTACACTGGATTGGTCTCCCTCAGCAGTGATTAGTGCCACTCCTCAGTATCATGTCTTTGTTAATAACAGTAATGGTATTATTATGAATGACAACACTACAAATACTGAGCTGTCTCTCTCATTATGCCCTGATGATGAATATAATATTAGACTAGTAGCTACTGGTGAAGACTTACCCAGTGGAATAATCACTGTTACTGTTCCTCAAGGTATGCATGTATATGCACATGTACGTGTACATAGTGTATTATAATTATTTATTCTTTAATAATTTCAGTTGTCAGTATTGATGTACAAGGGCCAGTTATGATGCCATTGTCATCTTCCTTTTCATTATCCTGTACATTGACATTAGCTGCTGAAGTGATTGTTACTCTAATTGACATGTTCTGGGCTAACTCTAATTTGAATCATTTCAATTCTACAACTGATGAAGACATATTCTTAGATACTTTAGAGCCTACAATGATATCAGTTAATGATAATGTTGTATATACACTTACTCTTAACTTCAGTTCATTGCAAGCATCACAGGTTGGAGAATATGTTTGTGGAGCTCTACTAAATGACAGTAGCAATACTGTTAGTGTGACGTCAAATTATTCTGTATCTGTACAAGGTACTAGTACATGAAGCATTATTATTGGAATTATTTAAAATAATTCATTTGTAGTACCTCCTCCCAGTGTATCAATAGTTGCTGATCCTCCAACTGGTCCAATATATGAGAGTACAAGTTACGTACTAACCTGTACAGCTACAGTAAACACTACAATAGTGGATACACCAGTAACTGCTAGTGTAGTATGGACTGATCCTAGTGGTAATGTAATACCAACTAATGAAGCAAGACGTCAAGTGATACCTCCAACTGGTAACAGTCTTGTAAGCATGCTATTGTTTCTACCTATTGATACTGGTCTTAATAATGATGGAGGAACATATACCTGTCAAATGATTATCAATTCTAGTAACTCATTAATAGCATCAAGTCAACCTACTGCTACTACCCATAATGTTACTGTTGAAAGTAGGTGGTAGCCCATACTACAATGATTACAGTTCTTTCTGCCCTCTCTTCCTTTCTTTTCTACTTTCTCTTATTCTTCATCAGGTCTTCCTCCAATGACAGTAAAATTTTCATCAGTTGGTTCATTTGAAGTTGGTCAGATTCTAACTATAACTTGTACCATAACAACAGTTGAGAGATTAGTAGTAAAACCAATGATTACTCTCTTTAAAATGAATGATACAGATATGGAAATGCTCTCTAACTTAAATAGACCATACAGTATCACAACAGATGATACTGGTTCAGTTACTAACTATACTCTAATACTGGATCCAGTGAGGTTTGAAGATGCTGGAATGTATACATGTATGGCTGAGTTTAATGTAACTGGTTTTAATAATACCAATGATCCTAGCACTGCTACTTATGATTCTCAAGAGGCTAGTGATGTTTTCACCTTGATTGTTGACTGTAAGTTATAAATATCCTGTACAAATTTAATTAGTTAATTTTAAACGTTTAGTATACTAAATTTAAATATAACTTACACATAACTATTTATTTTTTATTTTAAATATAGCTCTAATCTATTTATTATATTCTTCTAATTTTTTTGATCTTAACATAGTTCCACCAGTACTTGTTACTATATCAAAGGAACATGATGATACATTATATGCAGGGACACCATTCTTCATCAAATGTGACATAATGTTAGATCCATTAGTTACTATACCAGTGACTGTCACTAATCAATGGACACGTGATGGTACTAATGTTCCTATGGGTTCATCTGATGCTACTATTACTGAGGGTCTCAATATGATCAATACATTGCATTATAATGCAACATTAATGTTCTATTCATTGGATAATGCTAACGACACTGGAATGTATACTTGTAATGTTGAAGTGACTGCTCCTAATAGTTACATATATCTCAGGAATACATCAGCTAGTGCTAATATTTCCATTACAGTTTATGGTAAGTACATGTACATGTACATGCTGTAGTGTATAGTAGGCTGGTACTTATATTATACTTTGGGATGTGATGTTGAATGCATGATTTTGAATGCATTTTTACCAATCTGATGACAATCTGATAAGGCATTGATTTTTGAACTACAGTAATACAGTTTTTATTGTCTTTGTGGCCTTACAAAAATTTAAGTTCCAAATCATCCTATCTAAAGCATTTCTGTGAATTCCAGTGTGTGTAGATGCATGTCATAATCATGTAATAATATCACCTTTGTATAGCTTTTGAGTTTAGCCTTTCTTTCTCTTTTTTATTTTATTGTATACCTTAACTTCCTTATTCTTTAAAACAGCACCAAGTAAGATCAATACACTTCATAACATCAAATTTTATCTCCTTTTTTTCTCTTTCTATTTTTGCTCTTTTTCTCTCTCCATTCCTTTTCTTATAGCAATAATACCACTTGATGATAATAATGACAATATTCTAGCGATTGTTATTCCAATAGTTGTTGTGTTCATTGTTGTTGTAGTATTTGTTGTATTGCTTGTAATTGCACACAAAATAAGGTTAGGCTAATTATAAACACTGAGAGACAAGAGAGTAGAAGTGTGTGTGTGTGTGTGTTTATTTTCATTGTCGTTTGTATTAAAATCTTGTTCCTTTCTCATTCTTGTACATGTAGATCTCATAATTCTACATCACCCAGTGCTACTAATGAAGAGTTTGACATGAAGAAACAGTTTGGAGCGGATGATCCTGGTTCTGCTAAAGGAGGTGATAATGATACTGGATCAGGTGGATGGTCTGGTGGTTCTTAGTATTCGTATAGACCTACCACTGCATAGAGGCATATAATAAGAACCAGTGTTTAATTAATGTTTTTAATACACTTTTCATGTTATTGAGTATATAATAGTGTCCAGTCTAACACTGTTTTTATCTTTGTTAATTTTTTGTTATTTCTTTCACTTCCTAAAAAATCCTCACGCAACATGTTTGTGAGAAAACAGTTCATGTACACCTACATGTGCATGTGTTATGTTTTGTGCTGTTTATGCAGTTAAACATTTTTGTGATGTACATGTGTGTACATGCATAGCTTCCTGCCTTTGTTCATTTGCCACATGGGTGGTATGCATGCCTGACTCTTGTAAGATTGGTGGTTTAAAAAAATGTGATTAATGTTGTGCTTGACTGTTTCAAAATGTATGAATGTTATTGTAAAGCTGTCTTTATAACTGAGAGATTTTCTCTTTCAAAACTTGTTTACATTTTATTTTAATAGTTAACTTTTATTACCTTTCAATCTTCAATTGAATCAGTTGCTAAATTACAGACAACAAGTCTGCTTTGGCTTGATAATAATCAGTCTATATGATGCTCGGGCTATTTTTCTTAATCTTACTACATTATGTATCGTGTCAAGAGTTTGGTTCACTTCCTCCTCGTCCAACTACTGGTCTGTATAATGTCTAAGTAACATTCATAATTACAGTCTATTTATTAGGTGTCAGATTATTTCTTGCTGAAGAAAATGTGACCATTGCTAATTTCTCAATGATAGCTGCTGGTCTCTTTCATGATATAGATTCAGATAGACCTGATGGTACTGCTACTAATATTCCCATTGGTCCTGATGGTCAGAATGATGGTTTGTGGTGTCAGAGTTCTCTAGTAATCAGAGAACTTTGTATTTTATATCCCTTATTATACTATAGCTATCATCATTTCCACTTTAAGCATTAATTACAGCTATTGGTATTGTAAAATCATTTTATGTGAATGAGTAAAATTGTGTATAAGCAGGTACTCAGTAAAATGCATGCTAGTTGACTACTAGATGTAGCCGCCGTAGCTGAGAATTTATGCATGCAGGTTAGCTCAAAAATCAGTGACACATTAAGTCAGTTC